ACCTAACACATGGACTAAATAAAGTTTTCAAGTATCCCTAAGCTTAAGGTATAGTCTTTCTCAATTTAGAACTGCTGAACAGGATGGAAGGCAATCAGTAAACAGTGCCAACCACCTGTTGGCTGATATCAACTCAAATAACGGGATTGACTGTCACATTAATAACGCTTCTACACCTGTAAATGCTGGACATATTCAGTGGAACACTTAAAACTCGAGAATTGGAAATTTCGAATCCATAGCTCGGCACGCTGGGTCACGACCGGCTCTTGAAAATAAAACGATTTGTATCTTTACTTTTACTAACCCGACGAGATTTGGATAAAACAATGGCAGGGCGGTAAGATGTTGCACTACTTTTTGTTTTAGAAAAAAAAAATCCCCTTTACATCTGAGAGCCATACGCATCTTACACCCGAGGTAAGTGTTATAGCCTAAGATATCTTATGGAGATATTAAATACCACGACCTTTGAATGTATAATTAAATGTTACTTAATATTTTTTTTCTTTTCAGTCAGAGATTAATGTCCTAAGTAATTCAACCCACTAAATGTTTAATACAAACTATTAACTAAAGTATTACATTTAATTTTCTTTACTAAATGAATTTGAAAATTAGAAAACATTTTATACACTTTTCGATTGCAGAAATATATAGCTGAGTCTAGTGAGCTATTTTGGTTTCACTTTTTTAACACATTTTATATTTTTAAATAAACGATTTTAACACATTTTGAAATCTCTTTTTTTTTAAACATAGCCAGCCATCCATTCGAAAATGTCAAATATAAATCAAGTTGGCATAAATTCAAAAATAAATCAAATTTAGCTTTGGCATTGTTTTGTAGCTGCACTAAACGCCACCTACAGTAATGTATCGATATTTAGTTTATGAGAGCATACACTATCATTGGTGTCTCTCTAGTATAACATTTAAAAATTACGAACAATTAGCGCAGTTAGTCCTCGAGTGGCTTTGCGTAAAATTCAGCAACAAACAGAAAACGGCGGAGTTTGTTAGATGTAACGAGTCGAGTAGCGTAAAATGTAACTTTTTGCACTCTAGATGGCAGCACAAGTTCATTCCGATGTACACTTCATTGTCAGTAACAAATTAGTATAAAATCAAATACATAAGCTAATTTTTGCAGATTTTCATAAACCTTTCTAGTGAAAATGTTTTCTTTTTATCGTTTTTACAAGCTGTAACAAAATGTGATATCACACTTAATGCCGCTCATGGTAACCGAAACCCCTAAATAGATGTGCCGTAGATAATTCCAATTTATAATCACATGTTAAATTATTTAATTTTACGACCAATATATATTATTTTAGTTGATTGTCAAACATAACTTTATTAGGTAAAAATTCCCCAAGATTTGGACACAGGACAGAATAAAGATTTGAAGTATGTCTCATTACAAATCATTGGCTTATTGATAGCTTAGCGGTAAAGCTTACAGTGTTAATAATCGTGGTGACTACCCAAATATAGCCCGTTTTATGTTTTAAAACAAACAAAAAATTAAAAGTAATTGTTCCTGCTGCTACCTGTAGATAGAATCGCATACTATCAGACCAACACGTATATTAATATTATTAATTTCAAAACTATTACACTGTAGTATTATACGTATGTGTTATCAGCATATATTATTTTTTAAATGTATGAAAATATCTCTATAATTCTTGAAGGAAAAGTTTTTTCCTGATCGTCGAATTAATAACTGTTGATTATTCTACAGTGTTTTGAATGCAGATGAAAAAAACAACAACAATAAAAGAGGGGCCAAAAGTCTCCTTACTTTTGATGAGCATCAAGAGAAAGGTAGAACGGACCGAAAAAGTCTTCAGTATTTTGGGCAGTTGAACCTCAAAACTTCTCAAAGACTATTATTGGTTCATTTCTTTCCTCTCCAAGAGCAAGAACTCTTAATCTTTTTGATTTCGGTGTTAAGCCTAAATCATTTTTAAAAGAAGCATTCGGTGTTAAGCCTAAATAATTTTTCAAAGAAGCATCCGGTGTTAAGCCCAAATCATTTTTAAAAGAAGTATCCGGTGTTAGGCCTAAATCATTTTTTAAAAGACGTATTCAGTGTTAGGTCAATCATTTTTAAAAGAAGTATTCGGTGTTAGGCCTAAATCATCAATTATGGTACACACATATCAATAACGGCTGATCAGAAAGAGGGAAACTAGTTAGCGGCATCCTCAACCTATACTGCTACTCTTGACCGAATAGTGTGACTGACTGTCACGGCTATAACAGTCCTTTAGTTGACAGTACAAACCATGTTCAGCGACACATTGCGGCTCGAACATTGGGCCATTAAATGAAATCTTGAAATATTTTATCGGGACCAAAAGATATATGATTTAATTTAACTGTATATAAAGTGTGTCCATACTGTTCTCGAAGACTTACAATATAAGTGGAATAACTTATAACTGTTCTAACTTAAGCAGACTTATGCTTCTTAATTAATTTAATTTTTTTCCAATTAATCTAATTTCAAAATTCTTATAAGTTTTGCTTCAAAGTTGATTTTCATTAATAGTTGAATATCATTCGTACCTTTCACTTGCTTGTTTCTTACTTCTGTTAATTGTTCCTTTCCAACCAATAAAGAGAGGTGGCACAAAGGGGTCGAAAACATCTTTATCTAATAAACAGGACTGGTGCAAAAGGGTTGAATAGTTCCCTATCCAATAAACTGAGCCGGTACAAGAGTTGAAAATATTTCTATCCAATAAACTGAGCCGGTACAAGAGTTGAAAATATTTCTATCCAATAAACTGAGCCGATACAAGAGTTGAAAATATTTCTATCCAATAAACTGAGCCGGTACAAGAGTTGAAAATATTTCTATCCAATAACCTGAGCCGATACAAGAGTTGAAAATATTTCTATCCAATAAACTGTTACATCAGTTGAAAACATCTTTTATCAGTATACAGGGTCTAAATTAAAGGACTGAAAATATCTTCGTCCAATCAAAAGGGCTGAAAGTATTTTTTATCCAATAAACAGGGACGGCTCAAAAAGTTTAAAACACCTATATCCAATAAACATGACAGGTACAAATAGAGTTGGTAAATAAAAGGGTTGAAACCTCTCAATCAAATAAACTGGGCTAGTTAAAGGTTAAAAACACTTTTTATCCAATAAACAGAGTCTGTAACTAAGGGTTGAAAATTTTCTATCCAATAAAAACAAAGCCGGTTAAGGATTTAAGAGCGTTGAACACATTTTTTTTTTTTATCAAATAAATGTTTTATTGTTGTTTCACCGCAAAGCTGTACAATGGTGTATTTGGACTTCTTCGACCGCGTAGAATCAAACTTTGGATTTAAGCGTTATAAGTCTATAAACTCACCACTGATTCACTGGAGAACTGCCAAGAAAACAGGGCCGGTACCAAAAAGATGAACATGTGTCTATCCAATAAAGAAAGCCAGTACAAATATAATGGAAAAAAAGTTTGAACTAAAATCATATACGGAGAAATACATAACTACTGAATTGTGAGCCCATACAACAATATATGTCAACTTTTCTTTTAATAACTGTAGTTTTTCATCTATGTTTATAGAAGGTTAGACAAACCCTGAATCAGAAAACAAAGTCTACTTGTGTGTGTGTGAGCAAATAAACCGTAATCGCTTAAATCATAAACAATATGGAAAGAAATATTGAGAGGTAAGGATTTTTGTTATTCGGCAAAGTTTCCGTTTCGGATAAAGTGAAAATAAAGAACTGGGATTATAAAACCGTGTATATATACCGTCCTTTTTCTTAATGAACAGAATCAGCTCTTCTGTTGATAAGAAGATACGTATATGTGCATGCTACAAAGGCCTGGGGGCTCAAAACATACATATCTGTGCATGCTACAAAGGCCTGGGGGCTCAAAACATACATACCTGTACATGCTACAAAGGCCTGGGGGCTCAAAACATACATATCTGTGCATGCTACAAAGGCCTAGGGGCTCAAAACATACATACCTGTACATGCTCCAGAGGCCTAGGGGCTCAAAACTTACATATATGTGCATGCTACAGAGGCCTAAGGGCTCAAACATACATATCTGTGCATGTTATAGAGGCCTAGGGGCTCAAAACATACATATCTGTACATGCTACAGAGGCCTAGGAGCTCAAACATACATATCTGTGCATGTTACAGAGGCCTATAGGCTTAAAACATACATATCTGTACATGCTACAGAGGCCTAGGAGCTCAAACATACATATCTGTGCATGCTACAGAGGCATAGAGGCTCAAAATATTTATCATTTAAGGCCAGCCAAACACTTTATTATCAATCTCTTGAAGATCAAAATATCTAACAATTTACGTGACAGCTCAGTGAAGCTTGTTCCTGGACCCCGCCCCTCCCTCCTCCTCCTCTCCCTGAGAAAAGCAAGAAACAGTAGAATATTGGTTTCTTTTTAGAAGGGTCCGCGATTTCTTGTTGCGATACTTGACGAGAGACTGTATAATTTCATACATAAGGTCATCCGTAGGGTTATTGCCCATAGGTGTGTAAACAACATGTGGTTGGGTACCCAGTGGATGTATTAGACCTACGTCTGATCATAAAATAGGTTGTATTATTGAAATGAAGCCAATATGTTTCCTATTAAAGTTTTATTAAACGGTTATTGCTCGAAAGTTAAGTCCTGATCTGGTCATTAAATTAGTTGTATTATACAAAGGAGTTCTTGTGTTATTTATATTTTGAGAGCAGAACAACCAAGGTTATGTCAGAACTATAGGTGGCTATTCCTACTTTTATTACTGTAAGCAGTTAAATCAAAATATTAAGTAATTACTGTTTGATTTTAGACAGACCACGCATGTCCAGGGTGTGTCGTCAGTTCCCAAAAGAAGAGTCGAATAGTTAGTTAGTTTAGAAATACACTTTATTTATTTATATCACTTTGCTAACTGAATTAAAGGAATTTAATTTCACTAATTCACAGAATTTCTGACTTCTTATACAGAAAGGTTACAGTTGGCAAAGAAATTATAAAACATTCTTTCGGCAAGACCATTAAAATCACAACACAGTAAAAATTCGTGTTTTTAATAACGAACGCTTTGAGTTCAGTAATTTGAAAGACTTGGCATGTGTCCTTCTTACTTTCTGTAATCAGTCATCAGTGAAGGAATGCTTGTTTTTGTGTTACATCAAGTTCCGCACGTCGTTTCTCGGTTAAACAACAACTGTCCCGAGCTCTACGTTTCGTACCTACTTATTAGAACGTTTCCGTCATTCTTTTTTTGTCTGGCCAAATACTTGGTTCGTCAAACTAAAACCAGCGTTAACACAGAAAACGAAAGTCAGAGCATGAACAAACTCGCCATGTATGGACAAAATCAGACAATCTGATATTACAAACACACGTAGAGAGTAGGAGAAATATAAACGCGAAATTAATAGATGTCACTGTAGATGTAACTTTTGGTAATAATAGATGTCGCTGCAGATGGAACTTTTGATAATAATAGATGTCGCTGCAGATGGTACTTTTGATAATAATAGATGTCGCTGCAGATGGAACTTTTGATAATAATAGATGTCGCTGCAGATGGTACTTTTGATAATAATAGATGTCGCTGCAGATGGTACTTTTGCTAATAATAGATGTCACTGTAGATGTAACTTTTGGTAATAATAGATGTCGCTGCAGATGATACTTTTGCTAATAATAGATGTCACTGTAGATGTAACTTTTGGTAATAATAGATGTCGCTGCAGATGGTACTTTTCATAATGATAAGCTTCGCTTCAAAAGTAAACTTTTTTTAGAATATTAGATATAACTGAAGATGGAACTTTTTATACCAGAATTTGACTGAAGCTTGTAGTATATTCGGCAATAATTCAATGGTTGCGTTGTGTTAGAAAGTTCGATTTCTCACGAAACTCACAAAAGAAATTGGATTTCATAAATACTCCACGATGTCACATTTCACAGACGGAAAAGAAGAGTACAGTGGTACCACAGAACTTCTGATGGAACATTTTGTTGAAAACTGATCTTCATTAACAACACTGAAGTAAGGGAACAGTGGGAATATCTGACCTCCATCAGTCCTTCCGTTGTGTATCACCGACACACACGGACCACTAGAGGGTTCTACATTTGTTGCCGTTAGAGGGCGTAGTGTCCCAAGACTTTTAGCTCTTTGCCGGTGACTTGTTTTATTTCGACTTGAATAACCTTTTTCTAAGAAAAATGTGAAACATAAATCCAAACAAAAGTTTTTGTAACAAAATATACAAACTTTATAAAAAGAAAAAAACATTTGTTGATATCAAAACAAAAGAAATGGATAATTTGTAGAGATATCAATGTATTTCCTTTTTATAACGAACGTAGACCCGTTAGATATTTTTCTATGTTTAAATGGCGTCTAATTTATTTAACACTGTTAATTTCATACTGGATGCGATCACAAATCGTACGATAAACGAGAATATCTAACTATTCATGAAGACCGATTGGTATTCAATACGTCAAACAATAATTCAAACCTTTTTTTTTGTTGTCGTTAAGTTACGTTTTCATATTCAATCACAGTTTTGCACTTGAGATAAAAAAAATGGATGTTTAAGATTTAAGACAATAACAAGCCACTTTAGTATTACGATAATAATTATTTTAACTTCCCGTTAGTTTAAACTCTTATTATAATTAATGATAGCTGTATATTACTTTAACAGTCACATTTACTATTGTTGTTACTTTCTTATCTAAATCTTATTACTGTTGTAGTTTTACCGAGTTTTGTCGTCTATTCATTTCAACTATTACTTTATTTATTACTTCCGGCTTATTTACTATTGTTGTTACTTTCTTATCTAAATCTTACTACTGTTGTAGTTTTTACCGAGTTTTGTTGTCTATTCATTTCAACAATAATAGATACGTAGATTGAAGAAGTATTACAACAATAATAATAGATACGTAGATTGAAGAAGTATTACAACAATAATAATAGATACGTAGATTGAAGAAGAATTACAACAATAATAAATACGTAGATTGAAGAAGTATTACAACAATAATAGATACGTAGATTGAAGAAGTATTACAACAATAATAATAGATACGTAGATTGAAGAAGAATTACAACAATAATAAATACGTAGATTGAAGAAGTATTACAACAATAATAGATACGTAGATTGCAGAAGAATTACAACAATAATAGATACGTAGATTGAAGAAGAATTACAACAATAATAAATACATAGATTGAAGAAGTGTTACAACAATAATAAATACGTAGATTGAAGAAGAATTACAACAATAATAAATACGTAGATTGAAGAAGTATTACAACAATAATAAATACGTAGATTGAAGACGAGTTACAACAATAATAGATACGTAGATTGAAGAAGTATTACAACAATAATAGATACGTAGATTGAAGAAGTGTTACAACAATAATAGATACGTAGATTGATGACGAATTACAACAATAATAAATACGTAGATTGAAGAAGTATTACAACAATAATAGATACGTAGATTGATGACGAATTACAACAATAATAGATACGTAGATTGAAGACGAGTTACAACAATAATAGATACGTAGATTGAAGAAGTATTACAACAATAATAGATACGTAGATTGAAGACGAGTTACAACAATAATAGATACGTAGATTGAAGACGAATTACAACAATAATAGATACGTAGATTGATGACGAATTACAACAATAATAGATACGTAGATTGTTTATTTGTTGCCAACTGCAGACCTATACAATGAGCTAACTGTGCTTTGTCCACTATGGGTATCCAAACCCGATGTTTAGCGTTAGTGCTGCTGGGGGGGGGGGCAAATAAAGATATTGTAAAAAATGTAAACAATGATGGTGAAATGTATATAAAAATGTTAACATAATGAATGTGTCTTAGAAAAATATGTAGCTTTCTTTGTTGTAAAGTGCAAGGCTATAGGATGGGTTACCTTTGCTCTGCCCTCCGCGGGTATCGAAACCAGATTTTTAGCATCATACGCCCACTGACTTACCACTGAGTCACTGGGGGGGGGGGAACTATGTAACAATTTCCTAAAGACAATCCCCCCACTGGCACAGCGGTATGTCAGCGGACTTACAACGGTAGAATCCGGGTTCGATACCCGTGGTGGGCAGAGCACAAATAGCCCATTGTGTAGCTTTGTGCTTAA